CATACCCATACGCACACGCGCACACATACTGTACATGAAAAGTAATTACAGACAATATATAACCCGCAGTTGATTACAGAGGAATGGGATTTGAAGATGTTTTGCAACATCACCTGGCACTGAGCTAATACTGGCAATTGGGATTAAAGCTGCAATGTTGGAAGACTGGGACATGTGTGTGTATGTGTGTGTACGTGTATGCATGCCCTGATGTGTGTGATGCATGTAATCTTCCAGGGCACATTTGGCCTTGAGCAGAGGCTGATGATTGCATTTCTCCCTCCATTTGCAAAGTGGAGAAAAGAATGCAGCAATGTGTTTGAATGGCAGCAGCTGGTGGTCTGGAAATCCTTTGCTTTGGACCAGTGACTATGGGGCAAGTCTTTTGCACATGGATGCTGGTGGAAGTGGTCAGAAATCTCCAAGTTACATTTTATTTTACTGCTGGAACTAATATTTCTTGAGTGCCTTTCATCGGAATGTTCTATGCTGTTTCATTTCTTCTATCCAAATTGAAGATTCGACGGTACTGGATTCTTGGCTATGTTTTCCAGCCCTGGCTGGCAAATTAATACAGGGAAGATGAAAAAGGTGTAGAAATCTGTACCAAGATGATCTGTACCAATCACTGCCTGAGAAATCACCCAGGCAGTGATTTCTCAGGCAAAGGCAACAAACAGAAGACTACTGAGATCACTGACCGAGGCCTACAAATTCCTTGTCAATCATTATTTGAAGAAGGCAACTAAGGGTATGGGCTCATCAGGGTTTGTTTTGCTCTGGGACAAAACCGTCATGGCCTCGTTTTGGCAAACTCTGTCAGTAGCCAACGGCCTTTGATAAATCAATTGAAATCTTGCTGGCTTTCATTTCTCCATCAGTATTGTAACCTAGGACACCATTCTGGTTTGTGGCTTGTTTGGGATGAGACGTGTGTACTGACTGCCTCTGGGCGAGGTGGCCAGGCAGTGCTACTTGGGGAGGCAAATGTGGGGATGAGATGAGGGAGGAGGAAAGGACTGGTCAGAGATGTGAACAACCCAGTGAAAAATCTGAGCCTCACAATCTAGAGCCTCACTGCTAACTCAGCTGGATGGAAAGATGAAAAATGGAGCAGGAAAAGGTGGTGGGTGGTGGGAGAAGCCCTGCATGAAGGCAAAGTTTTCTGGGCAGGCACAGGTCGAAATCATTAAGCAGCATCCATTGCTCCCTCCTCCTGCTTCTTCCCACCCTCCTTTCCTAGAAATGCCTAGTTGCTGCAGGCAGCAAAGGTGTTAGAAAGGGCAAAGATTTGTGAACTACGACACTTAGCAAATCAGCACCCAAAGCAATCTCTGCCATCGAGCTGACACATTCACAATGGGACTAGAGTCTGCGGGGCAGAAATGTCCAAGGAAGCAGTTAAGGTGTGAACAGCTGGTCTTGGACACTGATTATTATTATTATTTCTGTCGAGGCAACATGGCCTCATCTTGTGGACACTTCGTGGGTCTTCCTATCATCTCTTTCCTGCAGAGCCCCTTCATCAATTAATATTTTCTTTAGCACACAATGTGCCTCGTTGTCAATATTTTAAAAAATGTTTTTAAGGATGAAGGCAAATTCTAAAAAAAAAAAAAAAAGGATGGCAAAGGAGACAGTAGCTCTTGTGTGCAAAAGGATGAAAGAGGCTTTTTGTTACTGAGTCAACAAGAAGGAGAAATAGTCCTGCAAAGGTTAACTTCGGGGAGGGATGTGAAACTGGCTGACAACAACATGCTTTTTAAAGAGGATTTTAGTTACTGTGTTCTATATTAATAGGAAATGGAAGGAAAATGTACTGAAAAATGGCCTCCCAGTCTTAATACTGAGTCACAAATTTATTTTTGCTTACAAGGTAATGCGGTTCTCAAAAACGACACCTATATGGAGATCTTGGTAATAGCACACTATATTTAAATCGAATCAATCAAAAGAGTCAGTGATCTGTTGGAGGCAGCTGGAAGAAACTTGGGCAAGAACTCCAATGAAAATGCCCATTTTCTCAAAGGGATAAACTGAGGAAGAATTCAGATGGAATAGACATGTCTAATACATTAGCTACATAGCCCCAAAATGACCAAAGGAGTATAAAAACCCCCACAATGCAATTTTTTTTTTAAAAAAAGAAAACAATGTGAAAGAAACACATGCAGCTTGCTTGCAGATTGTCACATTTAACAACTGCATGTGATGCACTAAACTCTGAACAAAGCATTATAAAAAATAGGTTTGTTTATTAGATGTGATGCTATACCGGCATCTTGCATAGTGTTTCTGACTTGCAAATAAACAAAATTAATTTAAGGAGTTCTGCTGAATTTGATCTGGTATCCATGCAGCCCAAGCATTTTGTTTGTAATGGCAACCAGCTCAGAAGCTTTCTAGGGACTCACAAATCAAGCATGAGAGTCTTCCTCCATAGGTTTCCACGGCAGATGATATTCAAAGATACACAATAACTGGCTATGGAGGCTCTATTTAGCTTTTCAGGCAGGCATTTTGTCATGCCTGGCTTGGTGATTGACAGTTGTTCTGTGAAGCAGCAGGTAAACACATCAGAAGCCTTAAAACTGATCACACCAGAAAACAGTATTAGGTACAGACAATACAAACTACATGCAGCGGATGAAATGAATCACACAATTCTTAAGTTAATGCAGATCAGTTCAACCCTCCCTGCCAGATCTTGTTCATTTTTCCCAAATCGCTGCTTATTTGTTATATGATCATCCCATATACTAATCCTACAGTTTCAAAAACATCCAATTCCCTATTTCATGAGGTTGGATTGTTATTTTAAACAAATATAGACAAAATATTCATATCTTTTGTCACAAAATAAAATTCTGTAATTTCTTTCTTATTCATCCTTTTTTGTACAATCTGCAGAAATATATGAAAATTAAATATTTCTATTTCCTGTATAAGTGCTTCTTTTTAAAAATAGACAAGTACGAAGCTCTCTACAACAGTTAAGGATCTGTTTCTTTTGGATATTTAGATATGTGAATAAATGTATATTTACACAACACATTTTTTCTTTCTTAGAAAATGTGCAAATAAAAAAACTAGTGAAGATTTATTGGGAGTTGCATAAAGCATTACAACAGCCTTCCTGAATTTGGTGCTTTCAACAAAGAGGCTGTTCCCAGCCAGCACAATTGTTGACTGTAGTGGCTTAGAAACTTGGGGTGATGTCCATCACATCTGTCAAAGGGCACCAAGTTGGCAAAGGATGGCATAAAGCAATGTTTTTAAACTTGGCATCTTTAAGAGGTGTGGACTTCAACTTCCTGAATTCCACAGTCAGAATGGGTCAACATCTCCTAAAATGGCCAAATTTGAAAAACACTGGCACAGAGGGGCACCAATGATTTGATGCCAAAGAAAGGTGGGGGATCCGTGGCCTTTCAAATGTTCTTAGACTTCAAATTCCATCAGTTTCACAATATACTGTCAAGGATGATGGGAACTGTAGTCTAATAACACCTGCATATCCATGGCTGTTCTGCTTTTGACATGGAAGCAGACTTTGGCAAGATTTATTCAGGCAGCCAAGGCCGTTGGGTTCTAATTCTGGCTACAGACCCCACAGGACCCCTGGACTCTTTTCCTAATACATCTATGGAGAAATATTATGAGCCTTCTCTCCCCAACGCCCCCCAATCCAGAAGGTAATTCCTGCAAATTTTAAGTGCCGCTGCTGCACCATTTCACAAAGTAGGTTTTAATGCTTTTGGAAGCTATGGGTTGATGAGGCAGCACAATGGCAACACAGGAGGCACTTTAAACATTGGAACCAAATAGTGTTGTCTATCTCGGTGGGGAGGGGGAGAGAGGATCTGTAAAATGAAAGACATATCAGGGAAGGGCTATGTGTTTTCTCCAGAAGCAGGGCCTGGGTTACAGTACATGATCCCTCTCCTGTATTCTCATTTGGGGCAAATTTGTAATACTATGAAACTCATAACACTGCAAAACTCATTATGTATTCTTAACACAAAGGGTTCCTGTGGTTCAAGTTATTTGGTTGGTTTGACACCTGGTTTGGCAAGGGATGGGAAGGTTAGGGAGAGAAAGGCTTTTAGTCCCATTGCCCAGTATTGATAAAGACAGGCCAAGAAGGCTGCCATTTTGGCATGAGGGTGGTGGTATCACCCTCCTAGATCTGGGGGGGCAGGAAAAAGGAGAGATGCTGCTTTAGTGTAAGAGGGACAGAGCTGAGAACAGAGTCCCCAATGCTAATTGCAATTGCTCTTTATGTCTCCCTGCTGGCTGTTGTAGTAGGCACCCAGGGATCTGGGTTTTGAGCAGCTCCCTTTTAAAGCCTTCCTATTTCTGCTAAGTGCCAGACTCTGCTTCCTTGACAAAACCAGAGACAGGGGCCAGATACATAGCCCTCTCTAACCTGATCAAGCCTCCTCCCCACACTTAAGCAAGGAATAAAAGTGCAGTGCTCTGGATCCCAAAGCAGTCGTCCACTGAATGGGAAGGAATCTGTGTTCCATGCTTTTGGCTAAAGATATATATATATATACACAACGAGATATATATATATATATATATATCGTTGTGTATGTGTGTGTGTGTATATACATATATATACACATACACACACACACACACATATATATAATTTATAATGTATATAGAAATTTAAAATATTTCATCTTTTAAAAAACAACTTTTTTTATAAAATGTAAATCTAAGGCTCTCTTTCCCCCCTCCCCCCTTCCCCCCCCCCCCCCCTTATGGCCTTTAGTACTCCAACTAGTTAATCCACCTCTCAGCCGTTCTGGTGCTTGAGAGGAAAAAGGTGGAGATGGATAAAGAATCCCTAATACCTTTTCCCCACAGGTAGGGAGCACTTCCCCCCCCCCCAACTTCACAGATGGCATCCTTTCCCTGCCTCCTACATTGGCAGACCAGGGCAGAGTGGCACGGAGACAGGGCCTCTCTTGCAGCGGGGGGAGCATTGGTCACATGACACTCTCAAAGATGACAATTTTCGCACCCCCATCCAGGACAGGGGAGAGGCTGGTCAGAGCATCCGTTTCGGGCACCTTGTACTCTAGATGATGCAATCCCCAGATTGGCTGAGTGAGATGGTGCCAGCGCTGTAAAGGAGCAGAGGAAGAGAAGTGGGGATCAGACCAAACTTTAAAAATACCATTTTCCTCCAACTCAATTTTGCTTTCACCTCCTCCCAGCATACGAGACACACCTCATCCTTGTGATTCATTCGTTATCAACCCCACATTCTCTTTCTTTCCCTCTCTTTTTCAAACACACTCAAGGATTAATGCTTTCAGCTATATTGCTGATATCTTTTTATATTTAATGTCCCCCCCCCATATAGTAGCCCATTATTTTCCCAGTTGCAATGTATGGCTGTGAAAGTTGGACCATAAGAAAGGCTGAGCGACAAAGAACTGAGGCCTTTGAACTATGGTGCTGGAGAAAACTCCTGCGAGTCCCCTGGACTGCAAGGCGATCAAACCGGTCAGTCCTAGAGGAGATCAACCCTGACTGCTCTTTAGAAGGCCAGATCCTGAAGTTGAAACTCAAGTACTTTGGCCACCTAATGAGAAGGAAGGACTCACTGGAGAAGGGCCTAATGCTGGGAAAGATTGAGGGCAATAGAAGAAGGGGACGACAGAGAATGAGGTGGCTGGATGGAGTCACTGAAGCAGTAGGCATGAGCTTAAATGGACAGGAAGGCCTGGAGGAATGTTGTCCATGGGGTTGCGATGGGTCGGACACGACTTCGCAACTAAAAACAACAACAAATTATTTTTAAAATGCACTATTGATAAATTTCTTTCAAGGCAATCCTACTCATCTTCTCAGAATCTGTGATGGCCCCAAATCCCTGCCAAGATCACCTGGGCTGGAGGGAAAGGACAGCATCCAGCCTGTTGTAGGGGGTCAGAGAAGGTTCTCCCATTTCTACCCATAGAGAGAAACGAGAGGAAAAGCATTCTTGTCAACTGAGAGATTTTCCACCCTGTCAAGAATGGGATGGATGACAGTATTGGACTCCTCCTCCAGATCACTGCCTCCCTTTTCCTCAGTGCTGCTGAGACAGGCAATTTTGTGGGGGAAAGGGAAAGGGGAGCCAATATTTCAGCAGGGCAGAAATGTCTCCCCCCCACACACACACACAACACTTCTGTCCATAAAACAAGTACTTAACTTACACCCATTCATTTAGTGACCATTTACACCCATTCATTTAGTGACCATTCAAAGTTAAAACAACACTGAAAAAAGTGACATGATAGGTTTTCACTTATGACCATTACAGCATCCCCATGGTCACATGATCAAAATTTATGCGCTTGGCAACTGGCATGTATTTATCACAGTTGCCGTGTCCTGGGGTCATGTGATCACCAGTTGTAACCTTCTCAGTCAGCTTCCAACAAGCCAAGTCAATGGGGGAAGCCGGATTTGCTTAACGACCACATGATTCACTTAACAACTTCAGTGATTCGCTTAACAACTGTGGCAAAATTGGTCATAAAATGAGGCACAACTCAACTGCCTCGCTTAGCAAGAGAAATTTGGGGACCAACTGTGGTTGTAAGTTTAGAACTAGCTGTAAAAGATGGCCTGGAGGGCCCTCACACCTAGAAACAGAGCCCCAGCAGCCCAACTAACAACGGCAACAGTCAAAGAGGGTCTGGGCACCAGGGGACTACGCCAAGGGAGAGAAGAGGTGGCTGCTACCTAGCTTCCTTGTGGTCAGCTTGGGCAAATGCTAGTGTAAGCATTGCAATGCCTGCCACATTCTCAGCTCTGACAGGTGGGAATGCCAAGGCTGAGGGTCCTAGGTGCGGTGTCAGCACACATGCCTACAATCCTGCCGTTCCTAATGCTCCCATCCATATGTCTGGTGCAGATGACAGCCAGGGGGCAGCAGTAGCAAACTCTGCTTCCTGCTATTGTTTCCTGGAAGACCCTTTGAGGTAGAAAGGGTCTCCCCAGCCATGCATAGAGGTTCAGCCCCAGGATCTACATCCCATCCTTCTGTTCTTGTGATGTGGGGGAGAGCCTCACCTCAGCCAGCGTTCCCTTGGCACGGATGAATTTGTAGAGGGCAATAAGAGGGACACACAGCATGGAAGATAGTGCAAAGCCCCAGCCAATGGCTTCTCCCCACCAGGGGTAGACATAGCTGTTGTTGTAGATCAATGGCTTGTAGTAGGCAACGTTGAAGAAAAAAATACCCTGGAAAAGAGTTACCAATGGGTTAAAATATACTAGTTCTTCCTCTTCCCCATTTGTAGCCCTACAGCAGTTGAATCCCAGATATGAAAAAGTGACTTATACTTGCTTAACCTCTTTTTCTTTTTTTGCTTCCTTTGAAGAGAAAGAACCTCTCTCTTTGGTCCTTTTGGGACATCTTAAGCCAGGGATGTCAAACTCGCCACATCACATGACGCGTCACGACATATCGTGACTTTTCCCCCCTTGCTGGAGCTGGGGTGGGTGCGGCTTCTGGGTGACGCATCTGGCCCATGGGCCGGCAGTTTGACACCCCTGTCTTAAACATTCTCAGAGAAACAATATTTCTACAGCTGTCTTCCCCCAACTTTGTGCCCTCTAAGTGTGCTGAATTCCAATCCCCAGAAGTCCTAGTAAGCCTGACAAAAATAATCCACACTGTTCGACTTCTTTATTTTGTAGGCCATGCTGCCTGCCATCATCACAGCTATTTCTACCTCAGCAGCTGCTTCTGACAGCAGCAGCATTTTTTTGGAAATGAGGGAGGAACAGGATGCTGGCAGATGCTCTCTGGAGAGGCTAGTAGCGCATGCGTGCTGGCATTTTGAATGAGAATGCATCTGGATATGTAGGCCCACTTTGGTATTCTGGGGAAAGCAATGGGCCTTATACCTGATTTGCAGGGCAGCTTGCAGGCTGAGTAGGCACTGGGCTAAGATACCAAAGTTTAGGAGGTATCAATGCTTGCCATTCCTTCTGAATGGTTCTAAAAAAGCACATCTTCACATCGGTGGTTAGTCAAAGGGGCCTAGGGGCACCATATACCTTTGAGCTGGCACATCTGTTTTAATTATTATTATTATTAGCAAGCCAAAGGAAGGGAAATAGCCCCAAGAGCTTTTTTTAGCTTTAAAGGGGCATGGATGTGGTCATTAAAGAAAAGCCATGTAAAGGAATTAAGAATGATCTTGGGAAAGATAGGAGGAAGCCATTAAGGGGAAAGGAAGGAATGAGTAATTAAAGGGGGTGAGGTGGGGGTTTGGAGAAGAGATTACACAATCCTGGGACAGATGACTGGGCCCAACCTTGAGAGGCTTCAGAAAGGCAGTAAAATAGTGTAAAAGAAATGGCTCTTTCCCCAGCATCTGGGGTCAGACTAGGTAGATTCCCACTTGTTGAAAAGTGGTATATTTTAATCTTGATTCCTTTATTTATCTATCAAATTTATGTAGCTGGCCATCTCCCCAAAAGTAACTTTGGGCAGTGCACAACTATAGTCCTGTTCACCATTTAATGGTTTTAGTTTATTTCAGGGGTATGTATTATTTTCCTTCTGTATTTTTCAAGATTTTAGATGCTGCCCAGTGTCTTGATTTGCACGTCCTAAATAAATAAATAATTGGAAGCATGGGGAAAAAAATCACAAGTAACTTTGCCTTGATTTTGTTTAGTATACAATAGGACAGAGAGAACTTAGGACAGACTTGTAAGATTTTGTTCTTCTACCTCACTACAATAACAATATTAAATCCCTGCCATGCCAATTTCTCAACCTGATCTGCCTTGGAAGGCTCACTGGCAGCCCCCAATCCTAAGACTTTGGCTATGATTCTGGTTCTTTTTGCTGATCCGTCCCAGTTATCTTGCCCCACGGTCCAGCTGACCCAGAGATAGAGCAGATTTTTCCCTACTGAATTTCTGCCTGTTACATACTTGGATGGAGTTAGGAACATGAACAGCTTTTCTTTTTCTTTTTTCTGGAAAACTTGTGGATTTGAGAGCCAATCTGGTCCAGTGATTAAGGCACCAGGCTAGAAACAGGAGACTGTAAGTTCTCACACACGCCTTAGGCATGAAAGCCAGATGGGTGATTTGGGGCCAGTCACTCTCTCAGTCCAGGTTGTCAGGCTTGGGCAGCAAGCTGGTCGGTTAATTCCAGTTGCAACCAATGGATCAACACTTAGCTGATCCCAAAAAAGTGGGCCCTGCACTGGTGGGAAAACTCCAAGAACTAAACAATAATGTACCAAATGTCTAGCTTTTTCTCCCACTAAGAATCCTCAAGAACTCCACCCCAAAATTACCAGGCAGATGAGCGGGGTCACGACCATCCAACACCATTTCATCCAAGGAAAGGGCCGGTACCCAATCATGCAGGCAATGTCATCCATGAAACGGTCAGCCCCTGGAAGGAGATGGGAAGCAGTGGAAGAGTGAGAGGCTTCTAAGAATGTAAGAGGAGCTTTGCTGGATCAGACCAGAGAGGGATATCAGAACGGCTGGGCCTGCTTCGAACATTAGTGCCTTGTATTTTGCATGATCACGGGACTTTTGGGGTGTTTAATGAATACAGTCTCCATGCTTGCCCTACATGCAAAGCCACTCTTATGAATGATTTCTGAGGTCTGAAGAAGTATAATATCCATTCAGCTTCTTATTTCTGACAGTGCCCGACTGGGGCTAAACGAGGTACTAGAATCTCTGTGAGACAAGGCCAAAAGGGTCCTTAGTGTCTTTAGCTGAAGCTTTCTGCATACCTCTGCCTCACCTCAGCAGCCCAGCCGGTCTGCTCCTCCTCTCCTAATGACTGCAGATCTTTCAAGGACACAACTATGCCTCAGCAGCCCAGAAAGGAAGGGGGAAAACAGAGGTGCCCTTGATTGAGGATGGTGTGTAACAGAATGTCCAAAGTCCAGCCTTTGACCACATTAGTTACGTATACAAGCTCACACCTCTTTTTTTTTTTTTTTTTTTTTTACTCCTGACAAATTAAACTGCAATAACACCTTCTGTTGGCTTTGAGCACTGCAGTCAGAGAAGGAACATGGCTAGGAGGCTTTTAAATGCTGCTGTGTTCTCACTTATTAGGGTAAAAGAATGGCATAATGGGAGGATCCTCTGCCCCTTCCAAGTTCCAATATCTGCTATGAGTGGAATCTAAACTGTATTACTATTGTCAGCTCCAAGCTGGAAAGTGATAATTAAAAATGAGGTGTGTGTGTCATGCTGGGTAGGGTTTGCCTCCCCGCTGGAGCATGTACTGACAGGGTGAAGGGAAAAAAAAAACCACCCTTTAATTACTCTTTGGCCATGCGAGGGAGGGTGAGTGGGACAGGGATCTCAGATGCTAAGCAAGGCCACGCTTGATTGCTATTTGGAGGGGAGATCTGAGAACTGCTGGTTAGACCGGGTAGAAAAATCTCAGAAAAAGGCAACAGCATATTACTTTTCTAATGTTGCAAGAATATTCCAGGGATTTATTCCCAAAAGTCATGTTCGACTTAAGGGGGTCTTTTGCTTAAAGCTAAAAGGTCTGAGCAACTGATCACAAGGCAGATTTGTTCCTAGACTTTCCTATCTCAGACTGCAAACGTGCATGTATGAATGGTGGTAAATGCAATTCTCTGTTTTTTCTTAAATTTCTCTAGGGTAGAATAATCTGGCGGACTACTTTTTCACATGAATTTCTCTACAATAAAGGAGAATATTTGTAGCTGACGGTTGAAATGAGGGGTCCTTGGTGCTCTCTGGGCTTGTCAAGAAAACAACCAAGCTCAGAAAGCACCAAGAATTGTGTTTTCCATATGGGAATATGGAGAAATTTCCCACTTCCCCCATGCATCACTAGGAATTTAAAATGGCAACTCCAGGACTGTTTTGTCACATCACATGCCCTTAAAGTAATCATCTATGCTTAGTGACCTTGTCCCTCAGGCCCGCTAATGAGATGCATTACTCAGCTATACAATTTGTACGGTAGTTCCAGATTGTTGTGAGGTTTAAAGACCTTTGGCGTCTCTTCAGCAGGCAGTGTAGAAAAACTGAGGCACTTGTAATAGAAATGGGCATTTGGGTTGACACAGTTATTTCATATGGACACCTGAAGCCGAATAAATCAGAGCAGCTTTCAAGGCCATGAGACGAAGTATCTCAAGACAGATGGAACTTGGACTAAGGTGTTTCCAAATTGGCTCCAGTACTCATAAACCAGATGGGTCCCATCCCATAGCCCAGTACTCATAATCATCAAGAACAAGAGAAATTGTAACCAACGTTTAAAAAGACATTATAGAATATTAATTCTGTGTGTGTGTGTGTGTGTGCGCGCGCGCGCGTGCGCAACACACACACACACACATCTGCTGCTGCTGGTTTATCTGCAGAGGAGGTGTGCCATTGCCTGAAGCCCAGTCAAGGCAGCACGGGCAGGGCCAAGCTAGAAACCTTTCACTCCCTGTAAAGAAGAGCTATGATTGCCTTGTCCTTTGCCCTTTCCACATAAATCAAGGCAGGTACGAGAGAAGCTCTTATCATTTACCTCTTTGTTACTTACATTCCACTCATACCTACATTAAGGAAAGTGTAGAGCTGCCAAAAAAAGCAGTTCAGGCTGTTAGCAAGGTGAGTGCCCTGGAGACTGCTAGGGCCAGGCAAGGAGCCTGGATCCTTTTCATCTCTGCCCTACTATTTTATGATATATAGATAGAGTGATTGGGAGGTAAGATGATACCGGCAGCCCAATCGGTCTTGCAAGGTAAAATACCACACTGAATTGGTGTGGAGGAATAATTTTTTGGTCCCTGGAATGCCAATTTTCAATGTAAGGAATCAGGTCTCAGTGGGCGGAAGTCCTCTGTCTTTGATCATCTTCTGACTTGTAAAGGACAATGAAATCTGATGTGTGATTTACTGTAGATCTCCAAATATGTGATTTAGATCTCCAAATCATACTTTTGCCTCTCACCCAGGTCCTAAACTCACTCCATCCACTCTCTCCATGGAGAGGATAGGGAGGAGAGCTCAGTCCATATAGCCCTTTTTCCTTTAACCATGATCTCATCCTACTTTAAATGTGAAAAAGGCAAGCCAGTGTGATGTGGGAAAGCCATAAGGTTCCAGACAAGATGGCTGCTTTTACGTCTCCTCTTTCATGCTACTGCTTAATCTCTAAGCGACTTCTGAGCTGCTCACATTAACAAGAGAGCCATCTTCTCTAAATGGCACCCACTAGAAGCACTAGAGATAGGTTGTGCTTCTTGGCTACGAGCCCAATACATCTAGATTAGAACAGAGTCTTAAAACTTTTAGGAAGGCTTAACCCAAGCACCTTTCTTGCTAAAACATAAACATGGGACTGCCTGTTTTACAGTGTTGCCTGTCTGCAAGCATATGTACATATGCAAGTCAGTTACTAAATGTTATACAGTAAATGATTCACCCTCAGAAGCAGGTTAAATGTCAATTTACTCCATTTGTGCTTTTGAGAATTAGAAACGTGTTTTTTTTTGTCTTGCTTGCTCTACTGATTTGTGCCAAACGGCTAACATGCTGGTTGATCTGTATGTAGTGTCAACATTTGGGGCAAAACACCTCTTGTTTTGCCAGCTTTGTTTCAGGTGATTCCTTAATCTGCATGCAACTCTTTCTTACCATAAACCCAGGCGACGACCACGCACTCCCAGAAGGCCTGCCACAGTAGTGTTGTGCCACTCGCTGAATAGTAATCGAAGAGCTGGAAGACATACATGCCCCCCTAGGAGAGGGGCTGGCTGTAAGACAGCAGGATGCAACAGGGCATTTTCAAAATGGCCTCCCTTGCCGGCTCTAGGTTCCTCCTCTTTCCTACTCAGGACACCTCCATAAAATTAGTTCTCCTAACCCAGGTTGGCCATATCACAAAACAATTGCTAAGCACAGCACCTTTTTTTTCACAAGAGACAGTAGGAGCAACATTCCTTCCTTAAACCTGCTTTATTGAACCCACTTCTGCTTGAGAAAGAGAGAAAGAAAGAGAAGGAAGAGAAAATGGGAGGTTCCTTGCCACAAAGGGTAGAGTTGACAAAGCCACTTCCCACACTCTTCGCTGGAGTGAAAGAACAGGAGTACGTGGCAACTCCTAAACCGTGATCTTTTGCCTTGTTGAGCAGGTTATTACGGAAGGCAGTGGCTAAAAAATCTGGGAGCTTTACTTCCTGAGTAGGCAGCAGCACCTGGCTGGATGGGAAACTACGGTATGCAGCGCGAAGCTCAGTGAAGGCCTAGATGGGAGACCATTAGAGAACCCCATGGTTGTAAAAACAAAACCCAGAAGAACAGAAACCACTTTGATAACTGAGTTTAAACATTCTTGGGACAAACACATCATTGACAAAAATTATTATTATTATTATTATTATTATTATTATTATTATTATTATTATTATTATTATTATTATTATTATTATTATTATTATTATTATTATTATTATTATTATTATTATTATTATAAAGGAAAACAAAAACCAAAAATATTCAAAAGGCAGACTTGATGGACTACAAGGTCTTTTTCTGCCTTTATGCTTTTTCTATAATGTGGTTTTTCTATAATGAGTCAAGCTCAGGAGGCAGAAAAAAGATTGGAAGAAAAATCTGAAGGTTTCAAGAAGATTGGGACAGCAGGGAAGGGAAGGCTGAGCAAAGTTAGTGAGCTTAGCCCTGAAGAATTCCTCAAACTTCTTGGCAGCATTACCATAAAATGGAAGAGTAAGAACCTTTCATCACACATAAATCAACATATACCTTCTCTATAAGCCAACCCATACCACAACAATTCCTAACAAATAGCTGGGTGAGTAACCCAAAAATGTCTGACGGTTCCTGAGAATGCCAGGAGTAGAAAGAAAAGAGGGAGGTCTGACTGCACGGCAAAAAGCTTTCTCATTCTGCTGGCCAAAGCGGAGAGATTCTGCAGAGAAAGTTAGGCTACCTCAGGAGTATTTCAATTCTTCTAATCCAAATCCTTCTTACTGCCTGGACACACATTCAAAACAGCAGAAAGAGGCTTGTCTCAATACAGATGGAGCTCAAAAAAGAATGGCAAAAAAGAAAAAAGAAAAAGGAGAAATCCCCCACCACAAACATTCACATCCTTCTTTGCCAAAGGGCATCTGAAAGTCTTAAGGGATGGCCCTTCCCCATCTTTGCAACAGGGGTGCTGGGCCCGAAGCAGAAGGGGAAAGAGAGATGGGAGTTTCTGTGTATGGGTAGTGGCATGTAGAGCCGAGTAACTGGGGATTAGCCATAGGAGGAACTATCACCTGGAAGTTCTAGTACGTTAAATACCCAAATGAGATAAAGTAGGCGCACAGTCACTCTTATTAAAAACAGTCCTTTCTGTTTGGGATTCCACGTATCAGAAACATTGCAAGAGATGACCTGCCCCTCCCCAGATTACAACTGGAGATAACATTTCACAGCATGTTCTCCCTCAGCTCTCAGAAGGGAGGGCAGGTATTCTCCAGCCAGGGAAGAGCAGGAGCTTGGTTCAGATTGTCTCTCTGTGTCCCCCTCTCTGCTTGCTCAACCAATCAGGGATTGGTTCAGGCACTTTCTAGGCCATGGCAAGGCTTCAGGGATTCCCTTACACCTGTCAGCTGCTGCAAAGCAGGCTGCTGCATCTGGGAATCCCAACGAGTCTTTTCCTCTTTCTTCGGGATGATGTCACAGCTCAAATACTGGCAGAGGGAGAGAGGAGTTTCAGTAAGGGCAGAGAGGTCTCCCTGCCCTAGAAACACAACGGTTGTGGCATTCGCCCTGATTAATGAACTCTTCAAGGCACACTTCAGGCTCAGTCATGTGCTGTGATTACAGTTACAGTCCTCTGATAAATGAATTTCTGGTTGGAAATCACCCAGTAAAGGCACTTATCTAAACAGAAGAGGCCCTGCCCCAATTGTCTTCTTTCACACAAGGGACCCAATTGCATCTGCCTCAAACTGTAAGTTCCCCAGCAGTCTTAAATCACTGCTTCTTGCTGGTTGGTTTAATGAATACCAGTTCTTCAATTAAAAGCTCATATAGCATATTCTTTGGATACTAACCATTCCCCTCCCCTACATCAAACCGTTCCCCACCCTATCAAGACAAGAGGGGAAGCACAATTATGACATAACAGCCTCAGGCCAATCAATGCTGTGTAGAACCTGCTCCTATATCTACTTCACTGAAGAGTTTCTCTGAGGTTGGCGCTGAAAGGAGACAGTCGGTCCAGCAGTCACTACTCTGTGGATGTTTTAGCAGAGGACATCTGATTAATGTAAACTCAGTGGTCAGGACATAAAGGGAGCACATTACAAAGAAATCCTTAGTAAAAAAAGATGAGGAACAGCTAAATGGCATAAAGCTCCAGAATCTTGGATGGGAATCTATAAAAGAGAAATTGTAGGATTTTATTTGGAACAGAAATAGGAAATCTAAGGCCTCCAAATACTGCTGCCAGCAGCCTGCTCTGCTAATGAAGTTGAAACCCCATTCCTGATCTAGGGTGCTTCAGTAGGTATTGTGCCAAATAGAACCAGAAATATTGGTCTACACCAGGGGTAGGCAACCTTGGCTCTTTTATGACTCGTGGACTTCAACTCCCAGAATTCCTGAGCCAGCACAGCTGGCTCAGGAATTCTGGGAGTTGAAGTCCACGAGTCATAAAAGAGCCAAGGTTGCCTACCCCTGGTGTACTACACTATATAAGTGGGAGCTCCCTGAATACAAAAACACAATGTCAAAAAGAGTTTAATCTTAATCCAGAGAGAAGGATATAACTATCTCAACTGCAACTTGAAGCAATACAGGTCATCCTCATTTAGTGACCACAGTTATTTAGGAACTGGTAATCTGGTTGTCACTCAGTGAAACCGCAACTGTGCTTATGATCTTACTTCAGTTTTCCTTTGCTTTGAGACCTGTGAAGGTCATAAATGAGAGGATTGATTGTAAAGTTATTTTTTTCATCACTGTCATAACTGCAAATGGTTGCTAAATGATACAGTCACAATGAGAACTACTTGTAAGTAACCAAGTCTTTTCAAATAAGTTTCCATTAGCAATTACAGCTCTTACGAATGCTTTGTTTTCCTCTATCTGTATTGTTCAGCTTTTGCACTGTGTGGATACTGTATATAAATAGTTTCACATTATGTAACTATTATCAGGTGTACTTGCCAATTTCATGCAGTGTAAGTAACAGTGAGTAATTTACAATTATCCCTGAAAGGAAAGGACTTTAGGATCACAGCATTCATTTCATAGAAAACCTTTCTCTCTTTTCCCAAAAGTTAACAATGAAATCCTATGTGTTTGAGTAAACACATAGTCTGAGAGTTCTCATGCTAACAGATAAATTGTACATGGCATTGCAGCCTACACTTTGATGAATGCCTGATGCTTGGGAAACCTGTACATTTATACACTTTACAGTTTTGCAAGAAACGGCCAAGAAAAAATACTCTGGCTAAACCATGCTAAATCTAAGCCGTTACATCAGCAGGATCTGAAATTTTATAAGGAGACTTGCAGCTGATTTACTAACATGTGAAAACATGAATGTCTAGATTGGAACCGACTAATCAAAGGGACAAAAGCTTAATATGTGTTGCCTGCATATAGTGGAATATGAAGTGTGCTTTTGTTTTAAGCCTATGTTTCGTGCTTTTGTTTTAAGCCTATGTTTAAGAGCAGATTCTCTCTGCCCACAATGAAAAGATTGACATTATTTATCAGTTGGCTTTTTATCATAGTTCTAGAACTAAGGATGGAGGATTAGAGATATCTGCTGTTTTTTAAGCAGTCTGAACAATGCTGGGACAGTGCATTTGGTGTGCCATGAAGGACAGCATTGTGATCCACCGCAGAAATCCCTCTTACCAAACCCACAAGCACGACTTCCCCATTCATTACAATATTTATGTAGGGATTGTCAACATGGGATTAATCCTGTCTCAGAAGGAGATCTGAATCTACTGCCTTGGCTGGTCACCTCCAGAATGTCCCAAAGCTCTCTCTTTTTGGCTTGTTCAGACCTGTACAAACTCTCCTTTTCACCCGCCTTCCTCTCATTCTCTCCCCTTCCGTTCCTCTAAGGGTGCTTCAGTGGTGGTCATACCTCAGTCACCATGGACAGCTCAATGAAGAAGCAGATGACACAGGAGATGGCCACGGTGATCTCTCTCTGGAATCGGAAGCCGTGGGAGGATGGGAAGAAGTCCAGGATCCCAGTTATAAAGCCTTCAACGCCCACAAACTGGTGTGGAAGGGGAAGAGAAGCAAAGTATTGGAGACTGGAGAACTCCATGCGAAGATGTTGAAGGCAGGATAATGAATCTCCTGCCATTCTCAGTATTGTATTGACAACTCATTCGCTTCCAGCTTTCTGCCCCTCCCCCTTAAACTCTCACCTGGCTGTCTAAGCCCAGAAGCAGCAGCATGAAGAAAAAGAGGGCAGCCCAGAGAGGAGCAACTGGCATCAGAGTGACAGCTCTTGGATATGCAATAAAAGCCAGCCCAGGTCCTGCAGAGGAGAAAAAAAAGAGGAACAAAATGAGGTTATCTTAACACAGAGACACTCTTGCTTCAGGGAAGAAGGGAGGGCTTCTCTGGATTTCCAGTTCGGTAAAAAGTAATTAATCCAGTGGTTCTCAACCTTTTTAATGCTGCGAGCCCAACCGGTCTTAAGTCGAGGACTAAACCGGTCATAAGTCGAGGACTAAACCGGTCATAAGTCGAGGACTAAACCGGTCATAAGTTGAGGACTTTCCCTGCCCGGGAGCACCGTGCATGCGTGGTTCCGCCCCCTGCGCCGGCCGAGGCGTAGCTGGCAAGCGGCAGACGGAGCAGACCGACCACCAGCTGGCCCAGCTCAAGGGAGGTAAGGCACCCGCCGGAAAAGGGAAAAAAAATGGCAGACAGCCTTGCTTGGCGACCCCCGTGAAATGGTCGATCGACCCCAAATGGGGTCGCGACCCATAGGTTGAGAACCGCTGAATTAATCAAATCGTCACTTATTACTTATTTCTAGCCAGCTTTTCCCCTATCCCGAAAGGCATGGTGCTGTCTCAAACAGAATGTCCCAAAATGCTTAGCAACATATATTTCCTTTATTTTGTAAACTCGTGCTTTCAAAGGCATTGGACTTTTATTTTATTTTTGCATTGGGATGGAGCACTGAGACAGCCTCAAGATTTCATTTAGTATCTCAAGAGCTGTTTCGGATGGATTGGAATACAATTTTTCTTTGAATGAAAGCCAAGACTCTTCTTCATTCTGGCAAAACCACACTGCTAATAGGAAAACCTCACAATGTACACACATACAACCCTATGTATACCCTGTTCAGTGTTACAAATCTGATTTCAATTGTATGCGTAAAATTACGTGTTGTGCCTTTGCAGTAGTCTGGAAATACCGGATGCACAGGGGTAGTTCTAATTATGCTGATCATCTTCTTGATAGGAAGGAATGATAAAAATTCAGGTAGAGCAGCTGCAGGAGAAGGTGTGGTTGCAGGTGTAATTTTAAGAACCAAGGCAACTAATCTATTTTCTGCACACGACCATCAATGCGTTTATTTCCTCCTAAAATTGTACTTCTCCCAGAACTGGAGAACAGCCAAGCATTTCATCCAGCCTGCTTTGCCATCCCTGAATTCAGGAGCACTCACCAGATTCTGCCACTTTGGAGATATCAACTCCCTGTTCTGCAGCCATGAAGCCTAGGATGGAGAAGACTACAAAACCAGAGAAGAAGCTGGTCCCACTATTGATCAGTGCCAGAATGATGGCATCTCTGCAGGGGAGAAAAGGCAAAGGATGGCAACTGTGAAAGAGTGATCTGACCAAAGGGGGTTTGTTGCGGTTATCCCTCAGCATAAACCATACCAAGCGCAGCTTCCTAGCTGATCAGAAATCGATACAATGGGCAAGTGTTGGCCAACGTGCTCTCTATGTTCCGTTTGACATTCCGGGTCACAGAGGCCAAGTGCAGAGCTCAATCTTACAGAATCTTGCACAGTGAAATCAGACATAAACATGTTTTATCCTGCATAGGATTGGGCTCTAACGAAACAGCGGCAAGATATGGTGGCCTGTTTGCTATGCACTTCCACCCATTGTTAGGAAAAGAGTTTGTGCTGAGCTGTGGAAGGAAGCAAGAGCACCAGAGATGTTTTCACTATGGAGGCGAAAGCAGGGCAAAGTGGGAGGAAGATTAGTTGCTGTTTTTGCAGGATGAGCGGGCTTACAAGACAGGCCGTGTCTTGGAGCCCAGCAGAAGCAGCAGCTGAAGGGAGGCCTGGGGGGGGGGGCCAAGGACATTTCACATTCCACGCATGCATCTTAGAGACAGATTAAAGGAGATGTTATGGACTAGCAGCAGGAAAAGTTGGGCAAGGAAGCCACAGAGCATTCTGAACAAGCAATAGGAACTGAGCTCGGGAAGGGGAGAAGGGAAAGCAACTTCCAATCAAAGCAGCTCTCCACCCTTTTTCTCAACGACCCCCATGATCTTGGGGCAGAAGGAATATCCCCAACATTATTAGGGGCTTACTATTTCTCTTTGCTGCTATCTCCTTAGAGATATTTGATGAACTTTATATGTACAGTAAAAAGGTGAACCAATTCTTAAATCAAGACATATCATGAGATATTGTTCTTCTTTAAATAGATCTCTTCCATCACATTTTCCCCTTAACAATGCAAGTTCTAAATCCCAGTGCATTCAGTGTGATTTATCCCCAGACAAATATGTATAGGGCAATAGTTTAGATTTTCCAAGATGTACAGCATGTGGCAGCCTTTGAAAAGTAGCTGCTAAAGAAATGTCCTACTATACTGTACTGTTTGACTTAGTCAGCAATATGATATAATCGGTGAGCGCCCTTAAGCAGTTCCAGGCAGAATCAGGTCCATACTGAGTGTCTTTCTGCTGTAGCTTATTAAGAGATTTCAAGATACCCCTGGAATCCCAGATTACCAGCTATCTTTTCCAACACTGCTAATAAGACACACCCTTATGCTAATGTGTATGAAAGGTTTCCATGAGAAAAAAAAATACGTCAGTGTCCTGCAAACGTCAAATACTCTGGGACTTCAGCTTCCAATAAGTAATAAATTATATGTTTTACCAAAAAGAATTTTTTTAAAAATGTTTTTCCCTTCTACAGTTACAAGTTCCAATTTGTTGCGCGTGATCTCAGTGTCACCGGTATGCAGTGCTGTGTAGGATTGGACTTTACAGCTGGCTAGAAGAGCAACAATGGCATTGTGAGAGATTGTGGTTCCCCAGCTAATGAGACAGGTATCCTGCAGGGTTTCTGCTTTCCCTAGATGCCTGCTTTTCAGGCCACAGTTCACGAACACAACTCATCTTCCTAGGAATAAAATCTCTTAGGATATCCTTGACGTTCCCCCAGAAATGGGGATAACTGTTGAACTAGTAAAGTTATTAGCTATTAGAAATTAAGATCCCCAGAGTGATGAGATGACTGAAAAAGGCACTCTACAATATTTCGCCTCTGCTTTCCCGAAATTGGAGCCCCTCACCCAGATATGTTGGACTATAAACCCCATCGACGCAGGACAGCATGGTCTATTGTTGGCGATACATGTGGCCGTTCAGTGGGTTCTGTGTATATGTGGGGTAGGGAGAGATTCTTTATCTTTTAAAATAGACCTGAGTGTAACAAGGGCAGAGTGAAAAGGGGGAAAAACATTGCTTTTCCAAGCCCTGCCCTGCCCTGCTTTTCCTGATTATCATTCATCTGCAGACTGGAAAAATCACCAGGCAGAAAAGCTTACTCCTGACAACCCAGCAGAACAAAATAAGACAGAGAACCTGGTTCTTTCCTAGCCAACAACTTTTGGAGATGCAGCAATCCGCTGTCATCTTTCTACTGTTTGGCAGAGCCCCACAGCTGCCACTGTGTGAACGCCCAGCTTTGCGGCCATCGTGGTTCATCAGGCAAATCTCCTATCGGACTGAAGCGATGCACAGAGCTTTGCCTGTTGAGTGTCTTCCTGCCATGCAGGCACTTAAAAAAGAGAGAATCCCTGCCAGGGGGAGAAAGAGGGAGATGGTGGCAATTCTACAAGGCATAGCCTCTTCTTCCTATGCTGTGCCTGCTTGCCATGCCCCCTGATGGTGATGTAGGAAATGGGGTCTCACTTATAACAATTGTTGTTGAATCGGTTATAGCTGCCCAGGGCAGTGAGTGCCCCCAGTCCTATGGCATAGGAGAAAAAGATTTGGGTCCCAGCATCAATCCACACCTGAGAGGGAAGAAGAAAAAAAAAGAGAGAGAAAGATTGAAATACGACGGGCCAGAACTCAAGAGTCTTTCCTCTGTCCCTTCACATACAACTGCCAACTTTTCAACCGCCCCTTGCACCCTGGGCAGCCACTCACTGCTGCCATTAACAAGGGGTGTAGTTGATATCTATGTGGTGAAGAGCTTTAGCTACTGCTGCTAACAAGTCCTTTAACATAGGGGTTCCCAACCTTGGCAACTTTAAGACCTGTGGACTTCAACTCCCAGAATTCCCCAGCCAGCATAGCTGGCTGGGGAATTCTGGGAGTTGAAGTCCACAGGTCTTAAAGTTGCCAAGGTTGGGGACCCCTGCTTTAACAAATAAAAACCCAGTTCACTGAAGCTGAACCCTTTGCAGAACTGCACTGAGATTTTGCAGCTGAAATCTTGACGATTTATATTTCGTCCCTATTCACTTTTTCGCTTGTTTTCTATTTCACAAATGTAGTGCTTCTCCTTTGTGCGTCTCTGTGTTGTTAATGCCTAATGATACCGTAGTACAAAAGCTGGCTAACCGGTTGGCAGGTGTGTATTAAACCTTTCCCTCCCATATGCCTCTCACTTACTTGAGGGGAAGCCAGTTTGGACCAGTCGGGTTTGAGATAGTAAATTATCCCATCCTGAGCTCCAGGCAGCATCACCCCTCGAATAAACAGTATAATGAGCACCACGTAAGGGAATGTAGCAGTGAAGTAGACAATCTATGTTGGGGGGGAAAAAAAGAGAGAGCAAGAATTAAGCTTTTACGTGAAATGGTTTATTTTGTTGCTTTCTATTCAGTTTAGAAGGCCAAAGTAGGAGGCAATCTGTCATCTCACTGACTAACTCCCCCCAAAAAGGGTGAAATCAATTTTTAAAGAGTTTGCCTAAAGTGTTAAACTGAAATAACAGCCATTACGAATTGAGTTATCAAACTTAAAACATTAATTTAAAACCAGTAGCAGTCAAAATTGTTTTTGCAGCCTGGCCCAGCCATTAAAGCACACGCAGACGGCAACATAAACATTTTCAACTTTCTTAAAAACAAGCAGTGAGGAAGACTCATCAATTTCCTTGGTGGACTTTTAGTAGCCTCTGTGGTTGAAAACTGTCCATGTGCCTGCCCCTTTGCTGTGTGCGTGCTTGTCATGTCACTATTAAACAAAACTTCCTCTTGCTTATGCCAGGAATTGCTTCACGTGCATGCCTGCTGTCACTGTAAAAGATACAAGGCCAGAACCCCCCCCCCCCGAGAGTATCATATTTTTAAGAAACCAAGTGACAAATAGCACATTCTCTGCAAAGCCAGATCTTCCTTTCACTTTGGACATAACTTTTTTTTTTTAACTTTGCAGGCATAGGAGGGGGTTAATGGGTCAGGGGAGTGGCTTTCTATTCCTATAGTGCGGAAAGCCTTGGCGCTCCTCTAAAGTTTATTGCAGAATTCCCATTGAAGAGACATCTGACCTGCTCCTTGGACAATTGCTGTGGATTTTCCCACACTAGGGTGCATCTCAAGGAGCATTCAATGTGTTCTAAGGTGTGCGCTTCTCCTTTTAGCTAAGCAAACTTCCTGGCCGATCCCTTCTGGGAACCGTGCCCTGTGCTTATAATATTCCCCCAATTCCTTTGAATACAGGTTTACATAAAATAAGTTCTAAGATGTAGAAAAATTCAGAATGTCTTCCCTTAGAAAAATTTAGTGACTAAAGGAAATTGCATAGAATTAGCACAAACTTTTGAAATTAGCGGCACCAGCTTGGCTTTTTTTTTCATCAAGCACCATTATTCTTATGGCACACACAGCCCTGCACCAGCTAGCCCATCTACTGATACCTCTTGGAAAGTTTGAGTAGGAGACAGCGCATGGATGGAGAAAGCAATGTCAGCTCTTCTGTTATCAGAAGGAGGTAACCGACAGGGAATCTAGATGTCTTGAAAGGACATTCAAAGAAGAAGAAAGACTCTTATGGGAAGTTCTGACTCAGATAGTCTAATGATCTGGACTGCCTTTGGATGTCATGTTCCATAATTTAACTCAGAGGCAGTCAAACTATAGACTGCCTAGTTCAGTGGTGGTGAACTTATGGCACGTGTGCCAGAGCCCTCTCTGTGGGCACCTGCACTGTCGCCCCAGCCCTGCCTCCCCCCACAGCCCCCTCACCAGCAGCCCCCCAGAGAATCGTCCCCGAGCGCGGTCCGCGCAGAGCAGCGCAGCCAAGGACATGGCAGCCAGGCAGTGGGGACAAGACTCCGCCCTTGTGCCCTGTCACACGCAAGTGATGCTGCGGCGCGTGGGCGGAGGGCGTGGCTGCCATGGCACTGCTGGGCTGCCTGGGTGATCTGCTGTGGCGGGCCATGGAGGTGGTGGGTGGCCCTGCGGGTGGGCAGGGCGCAGAGCGGGGGTGGGCGGGGAGGCGGGGGCGGTTTTGGGGCACTCGATCTCTAAAAGGTTTGCCATCACTGGCCTAGTTCATTTGTGAAGCCCCACAAAACAAGATAACCGAACTACTGACTTTCCACGGCCCAAATGTTTTGTCTGCAAACGATGCAAAGCTATTGGCAAGGTTTAATCCACCTCGTTTGCATCTTCCTTCCACCCACCTGAAAAAAATAAGAAAAAGGGGACCAAACATTTTCATTCACCCTCTCCACCCAAAAAGTCACAAATCATATTGGATATAATCCAGGCAGCTCTGTGAATCTAAAAACAATACATTTTTAAAAATATATACTCTAAGCAGAGAAATGCTGCTTACTGCTGATTTAGGAAGAAGCATTGACAATCTGCCTCAAGTGCAAAATATTTTGGGTGGGTAAATATAGGTAGTCCCCAGTTTAAGAATACGTTTCATTCCCCAAGTCTCTCCTTAAGTGTATCTAAGCTGGAATAGTATTATTGTACAATAGTATTGTGCAATGAACCATTGTGTATTTAACTTCAACCATTGTGTGTTTAACTTGAATTTTGCTATAGTAGGCTCCATTCTTAATGATGGGTCATCCTTAAACCAGGGCGTTCTTAACCTGGGGACTTGCTGTACACATAGGTTATAAGAAATATGTATGTATGTATATATGTTACTTCTTTCTTTAATCAACATCAGGGTCTCCAAAACACTTGCTGGATATCTCTCCAAGAGATATGCTCATGGGGGGGGGGCAGCAAGGAGCAGAAGACAAAGGTTAAAGAATCAGCAGCTGACTCATCTCCTGCAGCATCAGAAAATTTAAAGCTACAGATATGTTCTCAGAATGCTGACCTGAAGGTCCTTAACATTTATGAGCTCAGAGGCAGAGAGCTACGGGACCACTGAGTGATATCAGGATTATAGGGCAACTTCTGTTGTCAATGGAAAGAATATACAGATATTGAGACTGTATATATAAGATAAAAGCTTCAAGGAGCTGAACTTAATTTTAATTGTATTCAACGATATAAAAAGACCCATGAATGGATGACTGATGGCTTGTCCCTGAAAAAGTATTCAGGCACGACTTCAAGAACCGTCTTCCAACACAGATCATGAGAAATCTTTAAGAGCTTTTGGCTGCCTCTGGAAGCTTTCCCGTCCTTCCTAAGGGACCTTCTGGTCTTGTGCAGCCAGAAGGGGAAGAATGCTAATCTGGACAGGCAGCCTAACTGACCTTCAGCACTGCTTTCCCCACTAAGGCCACAGGAACTGCAAGCGTGACCAGCTGTGAGAGGCTGCACCACGTGCAAGTGCCTGTCTGCTGAGGCCTGGGGGCTGTGGCCCCTCAACTCCAATGGATGTCTGGTGAAAATGCCAGCCTTTTTTAGGCGTGGAACTTGCTGACAAGTGGGATTTTAGATGCACTGGCTATGCACTGGAAAAAAGAGAAGTAGGCATTAGGTATCTGGGTGGGTGGAACATATGACTCAGTGAGAAATTTTGATGTGTGCAAAGGAAGGCCCCTATTTACATTCAGAAAGAATAGATTGTGGGCCATACTGTTCATGTCTAAGAACTGAATTCATTCCTTGGCTGCATTTGTATTTGGAGAATCAGGAATGGCAGACCTGATAATATAGAGGTCTCTTGTCTCCCCTGCAATCCAGGAGAATTGCTTCTAGTCAGAGAACACACTATTGACAATCTAACTAGACAAGGCAATTTTATATATCCAACCACTATACATTTTCTCCAGAGTTGGAGAACAAATTCAAGGCATGGATCTGTTTAATTTTAAGAAGTCAAATCACAAGGCTGATGTCTCGGCTGTAGTGGACACATCTGACTACCTCTTTAGAAACTGAGGCTTTCTGCCCACTTTGCAGAAGTTCTGTTTTGCTCTTTTCACAAACAGGAATCCTGAAATGTGCCTAATTTTTCTCCCTCACAGAGGGACTCTGGATGGTGTGCAAATAAAATGTCAAAAACATACCTACTACGTGGCAGAGATTTCCCTCAGGAAGTCTCAGTTGAGATGGGGACTAGGATCTCTTACAAAGGATAATACTCAGTAAATCAGGATCCACTGGAGTCTAAGGAATGGTGTTTAGACATCTTTTCCCCCCTACCCTAACTGTAATTTTAACTTGAGTCCTCCTCTTTCTCCATTTCCTGACTGACCTTTGTTGTTCTATGCTTAGCAGCCACCATTCTTCTTTGCCTTAGTTGAAAACACTTTGCCTCCAGAGGTTTGCTTATGGCTTATTCACTGCCTGCATGTCTCACAGCTTTCCAAAGATCAATCCAATCCTTCTAGCTGCAGGCACCCATCAGACACATGTACCTCCCCTCATCCATAGTCGTTTCCAAAATGCACTTTTCTCCATGTATTTATTTTCATGTCATCATTTCATTCAATGTTCTCTTCTCATTTCACTCCCCGGGACTGTGTATATACCTGTTTCCATTCACCCTCCACCTGGCCCTCCTTGCCCCTTCTTCAAGAGCCACATCATCTCCACAGGTAAGAGCCTTCAGAGTGGGCTGCTGAACACTTGGCAGACAGGATTCAGGAAGCAGGCGACTGCCAGTGGGTGCTCTGAAGAGAAGGAATTTACCCATCTTCTGGAGTCTCGTGTGACTCTGCCACAATTCATTCACAATTTCTTCCCACCTTCTCCTCCCTCCCTTTCAGACCATCTCCCTACAGCTTCCTACCTTTCCTGCAGATTTGACGCCTTTCCAAACGCAGAAATAGACAAGGACCCAGCAAGATAGGAGGCACAGGGTCATTTCCCAATTGATAGCCCCAGGGTACTCCAGGCCTTTTGAAATATTCAACACCTTGTTCCTGCAAACAGAGGGAGAAAAGGTGACCACCCGAATGGGACGGCTTTGTGAGCAAAGTTCTTCATCTAGGCAGGTGAGCACGGCCCTGCTCAGAACAGAGAACTGGGAGGTCAGTTTAGGACAGAAGGGTAAAATGCCATAACTCACTCCCAAAATTCGATGACAGGTGACCGCTTGTCAGAAAGTTCATCACAGGTAAGATTGCTACTGGCAGTGCCATTGGCACAATCTTCATGTCGGAAGATTTCCACACACTCTGGGGAGTTCCAGGGATTCCCACAGGTTGCCCAGGGCAGGGTGGCTGTAAAAGACTTCACCAGATAGTAGAAGCCCCAGGCAAGTACCATGATGTAGTACGTGTTGCAGTAGAAGACAATCACCATGGAAGCAAATCCCAGTCCTGTTTGGAGAAATTCAGTTACTTGAAGAAAGAATGGGCTATTTTCTCTAAAGGGTGACAGAGATATGACACTGTTACACAGGGAAAATGAGTGATATGAAATATAAGTTGCATTTGCTAAATGTCCATATTTTAAATTCTGGAAACTGAACACTATTTTCATCAAACAGTAATTTAATTTGGCTTTGCATGCAGAAGGAAAGAGTAATGAAAAAGACCCATTTCTAATCATTAGTAAAAAAAAAAAAGTAGGACTTCTTTTCCTGGCTTCTAAGATTACAGTGTATAATTTTACACTACATACTGTCTGCTCAAGTAGATTTTCATTGACATATTGATTACAACCTTTTGGGGTATCAAAAGCTAGTGATCTCAGCCTGATTATTTCTGTACTGTACGTCACAAAGAGAATCATGTCTATATTTAAGCTCTTCTTCTCTATACATCCAAGTATGCCACATCTTTTTACTACCTCCTGACCAATCGTTGCCAACTTCACATATTCTTCTAATTTGGGCACATCTCAGAGATCAATCTATTGGATCTTTTGATATCTCCTTGGTTTTCACAGAAGATCCCACACTGATGTTCTGACTTGGGAAGTTGAGAGAAGATGCTATTAGAAGGTAGCTCAACTTTTTCCCACGAACAAACTCATAAGAGCAATAAAGAGAAGAAGGGGGGGGGTTAGTTGGAAAAAGAGACCTTACCTTTGAAAAGTGGCGCTATGTTCCATACTGCGATGCTTCCAGCCTTCATGAATTGCCCCAAAGAAATTTCCAAAAAGAAGATGGGAATCCCACCAAGGAGGGCAATAAGAATGTACGGGATGAGGAACACACCTGTAGCCAAGTGAGCAACACAAAGTAAGCAACAATGTCATTCTTCAATTCTAGACCACTTCAGCCTTTCCCATAGGTACAGATGATTTATAGGTTTGTTATGCTAAAAACATTTTTTAAAAACAGCATCTAAATCTAATCCAATTTAATCTAATCTAAATTGTGCACTAGGAAAAGCTGAGTCCTGCCCCATAAACTGTGAAAGCGGCATACCATTTTCATAATTTATTCTGCTTCAGTTTGTTGATTGAGAGGAGTGCAAGGGTGTCAACTGAAATCTTTCTCAGTGGAAACAGTATACAGTTGATTCGGGGTTCTGAGATACCATCAGATCCTGGCACACCTTGAAATTTAATCTCAGATGTCATAATGTTTAAAATATGCAAGAATTTCAGAAGGTTTTTGCAGATCGGGGAGGAGCCAATGAAATTACCGTAAATTAAGGTTAGAAGCTGGATTTTCTTTTCAATCAGTACCCTAATTTGTGGCTTCTGTGGTTACTTGGAATTGTAATATTTATTGTATTTTAATTTTTCCCAGTTCTGAGACCTCTTCATTTGTTGCCATCACTTAACTTAACTTTTTCCAACTTTCTAAATATTTTGAGATTGCACAATTGAGAATCGGCCTTGCTGGCTGGATCATCTTCCTCAAACGTGTTAAGGGGACTATGCTGGAGAAAGCTGACTGAACTGAAATGCATTCTTTGCTCTCCATTTAGAGATATTTTGCTGGCAAAAGTCTTTATGTATGAATGTCTGCAAAATATACAGAGGAAGACCAGATCCCTAAGGTAGCTGCTATGGAGCTGGAAAGGAGATAGATAAAAAGCAGACTCTGTTGTTCTCTATTATTATTCTTCTGACTTTTGTCTTCTAGTCATTTAATCATAGATGCTTCTTCAGGCTCCCAAGATCAAAAAAGATCTCTGCTCCTCCCTGCATTGTCCATATTGGTCACCGCCATGTGATCTTGATCTGTTTCCCTCTTTCCCCAAACAGTTCTCAACTTTCCTGTCACCATTGTTCACAAGTGTGCCAGCCTCACAGCTGTGATGGACAGGCTGGTGTGTTCCCAAATACGTGTGTGCACGTGGGCCTCAGTATGAATCGCCTCAAGGACTCTATTTATAGTACAGATCTCTGGGTTAAGGGAAGGATAATCTTGGGGATATAAACTCTTTCCCATGGGGATTAACAAGGCAATGGTTGGGGAATCCATTCATCGCTGCATATAGGCAGGGACATCTACCACCCAGGAAATGCAAATGGCGGTGAATATGTGCCTCTGCACATGGAGCAGCTAAGGCACATCATGCTGCAAGACAAGAGTGTGTGTGTGCTAAGGCTGATTCGAAGATGATATGGGATTTTGTGCTTCTGTTTACACATTTAATCAGATCAGTTGAAAAAAAAACAGAAGCAGACGCATTCCTGGAATGTGACTAGGTTTGATTAGTATTAAGCTTGGGATTTGGGTAGGTGAGCATGTTGCGGTTTTGGTTAGTCAATGGTTCAAAGGATTGTGCAAACTCAGGACATGAAATAATGCAATAACCGGATGGAGTATATCAAGTGAATGAAGCCTACGAGTGGGTGTTTGGGTGTGAGTATTGTGCGTGGCTTTATCTGAATGGCTATCTGAAATCCAGCATTTTCTCAGATGGTAAACCTGCATCTGAGATATTCATTTCCAAGTATTGGTGAGGCTTCATATGACTCAATATTTCATTTTCTTTTTTTGAATCCCTGCATGCAGAAAGCTAGCAATCCAGAGGAAACGATTCTGGCATGATTCTGGCATAATCTTGGTTTTGTTTTGCATAGAAACCCATGTCAGTCTCAAATTCTTCCTTTCAGTCTGATACCTACAACCAGGCACAAGTTTATCCCTATAAATCAGCCCAGAGTCAAAACTACCCTTTCTTGGAACAGCTTTTATAGAACGAATTAAGGTCTGAAATGTATGCTTTCCAATGGCAAGGGCTGCTTTTAGAAACACTCAAAGTGTATGTCTCATTCCATTAAATAAAGACACTAAAAATGGCTTCTTATCAGTTTTCATATTCTCTATTTCTGTTTTTCAATTATCGACTCCATAAGGCATGGTGAATGAATGGAAATATCAGGGTTAGATCATGAAATAAATTGGTTGGACAATCATTCCCTCTATGCAATAAACGTTAGAAATATTTGTCAAAGGAAACAGATTGCTAACAGAATTCTCAGCAATCTCTCCAAATTGTAGTTATCAGGCTTGAAAATTAATTTATGATGCAATTAATATAACAGCCTTCCCTCAGGAATTAAACTACAGCTCCCATCTTCCTCAGCCAATTAGGCCAGATGACCGTATACAAATAGTCACACATTGGGGGAAACTGTCACAGACATTTGCAGTATAAATATGTCTTCAGTGTTGCCTCTATGTATATAGCTCAGTGACCCCTTCAAGGTAGGAATGAGAGGCGATCAAAGCGCATTTCTGAATTCACCATATTTTCACAGACCAATGTTTACAAGGATGAGAAAGTGTTGACTGCTGCCTGAAGAGTGGGATGCTTTAATCTCTTGGAGAGTTAGAGGGAGAAGCAAGGGGATAACTGGAAAAATGAAATCTCATGAATTAAAGTGGTCACTGTTCTGTCCACAGCAATTTTTCACACCTGAAGCACTGACATTTTTCTCTTTCCAATCCTGGCCAGAAAGATTGAATCATTCATCCCTTGTGATCTCCTCACACTCCTTGAAAAACCCACAGATTTATTCTATTCTGGCTCTCCATCTCAGCTCGCCCATGCGAGCCTGCAGCTGCATGTCTAACAAATGCAGTGACCAGCAGCACTTGTGAATGGGCGGACTCAGGTACAATGCTCCAAGCACACCAGCTTGGGTACAACCTCTGAGAGTGGAGGCTTCCACCCCTCCACCCACACACCCCACTGAATGAGGCAACCGTCTTCTCCCGGAATTTGCCCCCCTCTGTGCCATGCTGTGGCTTTTACACAAAAGAAATTTTTCCCGGCTGTCAGCCGAGTAAAAGAGGAAAGTTCTCAGGGCCTCAAAAGGGGAGGCAGGAGATTATCTCAGCCTCAGCACAAGGCAACTGAGTCACTTTCCGCAGAAGAAAGGGAAACAAAATTGATTCTACTCCAGGAGGTTTGGAGAAATTGGAAGAATGCATCTCTATTTCAGCCCTGGACTATTCTCCAGCCATTCTCACAATATGCTTTATCATCAAACACTACCTTCTCCTACTTTCTCTTTCCTACCTAACTTTTCTGGCCACCCAGCCCCGCTGATTGTTTGGATCACTTTTTCTGCCCTTTCTAAGCTCTTTGTAAGCTTCAAAACTTTATTAGAGTAATTTAAACTCATGATCTGTAAGAGCTGATAGGCAACTAAGACATCCTGGTTATGAGATCGGGTCATATGCTTATCCTTGCTGGCCTAGAGGGTGGAAAGCAATATTTTCCCCATTTTTCCCCCCCAGCATCAGTTGCTTGATAAGATCTGGATCTCACTGGGGATTATTCAACTGTGGTGACAGAAGTCATGTGCCACTCCAAAAACATGTAAAACATAAACAGCATCTCTAACCCACTTGTCAAGTTCAAAGTTTTGGCAATCTCTTTGGCTATTAGCTCAGGCTGAATCCATTATTTATTAGCATAACAAGATTGACCAGTAATGCCAACACTTTCAGGAACAATAGCTCCCAGAACTTTTCAATGGAGAAAGAGGAAATAAAAGTATCTTTCTCAGAAAGTGCCTGTTTAAAACAGTAGGGTTGTCCAAATCCTGTCTTTTCAATTGTGCTTAATCAGTTTCCACTTCTTCATCTCAAGTCTGGATTGAGCAAGTGATTTGTTCTTTTCCTTTCACTTTCTGTCCCTCTATCTTGAAAAAGGAACAGCCAGGGCTTATAGTGACTGATACCTGCTAAATTTGTCCCATGCAAATATCAGATGAAAACTGGCTCCAGGGATGCAGCTGAGAGTTTTATCGTTCTTCTGTAGCCTGCCAAGGTACTTTTTTTTTTTTCATTTGCACGTACACCAGTCTTAACAGAAAGGGCAGATTACAAGGAAGCATTCTGAATCAATAAATGCAAGGAGAAAAAGGCAGAGTACCATCCGTAATGGAGGGCCTTGGACAGCAAGGTTTGCAAAAATAAATAAATAAATATTATAGGTCCTTTGCAAGGTTTGCTAAACCGAGACACTTGTCCTTGGCTATTAAAAGACTCCCTTTGCATGTTTTTTGCTTCGCTTTTCTTCCTACAAGCACAAAATGGTGAACATACCACTTAATTCTCACCACATTCTAATTTGACTTTTGAAGTTAGGTAAGGTTAAAAATAGGTACTAGTTCAAGATCACCAAACCGGAATGGAAATTGTATTCCAAGTCACCAGCTCAAGACTGCAAGTATCACTAACAGCACTTGTCAGAGAGAAATAGTTGCAAAAGGGTCAGCTGGAGCTGGTTGTTTTACCCAAGAGTCAGGCAGCATGTGAGTGTGACGCAGTGTGCATCACATCAGCCGATGGCAGTCCTTCCAATATTATTGCTTTTCTGTTCTCTCCTAAAATCAGCAAGGAGAAAACCACCTACCCTTAAGGGAGAATGAGATACAATTTTGGCCTTGTTGCCTTACAGATAATGAATCAAAATGGGAGCAATAAGGAGACAGTGGGATCCCAACCCCCATTTACAAGGGTCATAAAATTCTAAAGGAGAAGGAGAAGAGCCCCTCCTCTTACTTCATTGCTAATGAAAGAGATGCTAGGGTAGGATTGGGGCAAACCTAAAAAGCTACGGACTTTGAATGTGCAAGGATTGGCCATGGTAATCTGACAGAGGGGGCAGGGCCCCTGAACACACGCACTTAAGAGTATTCTACTACTCACTTCCTTTTCCTATGTTTTATG